TATATATATACTGTACAGCTCTATCACAATTTTTTTAATCGAAGAGTGGCCATATTGTTTGGTGACTTGACTCATCTATTTGCAGCATTGTTTAATATTTCCCCAAGAGTAATTAAAAGCCTGATTTTTAAAATTAATTTGTTTTATTGTTAGGATATGGAGGGCAGAAGTGAAATGGTTGCAGGGCCATTTCTGGCCCMCGGGCCTTATTTTGCYCAACACAAAGTTWTTTATTGGATGTTTGAAGGTGGCCTGGGGCAGTGAACTCAGCAGGAACTCTCCTGTCCACGCCTACACGTCAGCAGGTAATAGGTTACACTTTCGTTGTGACGAGCAGGTTAACTCAAGCCGGAGGTTTTACTCACGGATAACATCTCTGAACTTTGAGCCAGTGCAGCTTTTAAAAACAGCACGACTCACTTCGGCTCTGCTGTCTTCTTCAGGTGTCTGCGCATCGGCTGACGTGGGAGCGTAGAAGAAGAAAAAGGAGGAGAAGAAGAAGAAGAAGAAGAAGAAGAGGCGGGCGATTTTCCGTGGCAGCAACATCTGTGGCGATACAAATATCTCTGCTTTATTTGTGTACCGAGTAAACCCGACCACGTGAGCTTTCACAGCCGAACAGTCATGTCATCATTCACCTATTTACCYGCTTAACTCCGACCTGATGTGAGTTTCTGTTTCACTACCTGTGTGTCACAGCTAACTGTTCTGACCAGCTAACTTAAAGTTATCAGTTGATGTTGGCTAACAAGCTAATGATAGCACTTTGGACATTAACAACCGGTTCATGCTGCTTAGGAAACCTAAATGTTATATAATATATAACACGTAGTAAGTCACTAGTTAGCTGAGTTTACTTTACAAACCAGGATGTGGTCAAGTAGGATGTTTGTTTCTTAGCTTAATTTACTTGTTTTTGATTTGAAGTGGAGCTGAGACTGAGTCTAATGTTGTTATTGTGGTTTTATTAAGCTGATTACCTAAAAAGTTGTGCTTCTAATGATCCTAACACATAGTTCATTTATAGTATCTCTAGTACTTATTAGTAACGTAATGTTAAGAATGTGGAATCACTGCCACGCAGCTCAGGACTTTAGGTGTTTTTGATGTAATTAAAATAGTCCACATAATCTTTAATAATGCACTGAATTACTAAGCTTGTAGTTTACATGGAAATATGTTCAACTAATGTTATGATGCATTCAAAGAGGATATTTGTAATATATCATATTAACTTGTTTGATACAGTATTTACTTTTTGTTTTCTTTTGTTCAGATTGGATATTACACCAGATGGATTGGGATTCTTCAGGCGACGATGGCAATGATCCGRTAGCATTAATGGATGACTCCTCTCCCATGTTTGAGTCTCGTCAATTAAAACCAAGAACGAGCGCCATCTCGGAGCGTGAGTTCTCCTGCCACTGTTGTTACGAAATCTTGGTCAACCCCACCACTCTGACCTGTGGCCATAACTTCTGCCGCCACTGTTTGGCTCTGTGGTGGGAGTCCTCGCGCAAGAATGAATGCCCAGAGTGCCGGCAGAAGTGGGAAGGCTTCCCTAAAATCAACATATTGATGAGGTATTATGCTCACAGCTACACTAATTTTCCTACTAGGTGTTGTAGAGAACAGAGTGACAACCAAAATGAGGTGAAGACATCATTTGAGACTTTGAGACATAATATTGGAGTATAATCCTGATAAAGTAAAAATGTCAAATTGATGAATTTCCTTTGGCTAAAACAGACAGAACTAAGCAGTTAAAGACTAGAAACATTTTAAGTAAAAAAGGAAGAAATGACAGGTTTGATGAATTGTTTGTGAAGCATTTAAAACCTAAAAATTTTCTTGCATCTTTAATAAACACCCGTTTTGTCCTTCTACGCAAAAAAGCTCCATGGTTTTGATACCTAGCATGAGTTCTTGCTAGCAAAACTGTCAATGTTTGTTATTTTAGTTTGTGTTCCAGAGTTACTTTCTCCTCTGGATAGCTTTGTTTTTAATCAAACAAAACTGAGAAAAGTCTAACTCATTGTTAGGACAACAAGGTTTTAAGATGTTCAAATATTTAGTAGTGACTGAGTTTTCAATCTAAATTTCAAAGGAAACAAAAAATAAATATATAAAAAATCACCCCAGACCACAAATTTTGTGCTTTAAGTTTCTACCTCCTTAAACGCTGGAGAATAAAAAAAAAACCTGACCAAGAAATGCATCTCATTTGTAACTGAGAGGCAGACTGTTGTTCAGTGATGATAAGAAACAYGATTGGCTGATAGGAACACAAAGCTGATGAGATTAAATCAGGTCAAATGTATGGATGTCTGTTATTGTTATCGAATTCCTTACTCACAAAATCAGTTTTATTTTACTGTTTTTTTTTTTTTCTTAAAAAATTTATCATGATTCATGTGGGACTAAAAAGCCAGACATTCAGTAAAAGTTTTAATTTTATWCAAATATCATTTGGGTATACGTGCATAAGCTTAAAAATAAATAAGCTGTAGTTTAGTACCACAAATACAAATAAATCTGCGTTTTCCCTAACCACTAAATGTGTGTTAGGGTTCAACAGTCTGGGCTGAACCATCTGTCTCTGTGCTCAAACAGCGTTTGTAGGACTGCCCAAAAGTCAAGTGCCTTCATGTTGGAAAAATAGGCTTAATGTGATCTAAACATGTTCCTAAATATTGCAACAAACACTTAACGTTGTATGTGTTCAGAAGCTCAGGAGAAAGTCTGAATCAAATTGATGCAAGAAGCTTCACATGATGTGTAATCTAATAATGTTTTATGTGTTCATAACACTGAGTGTATAAATATATCCAGGTATTCTATTTGCATGTGGCTCCAAAGTTTGAGAAAACAGCTGCAAAATGGAGACTATTGATTTCAGACTGTATTTTCTGTTTGTGTATTTTGAAAGTGGGTGAGTTCTTTAGAAAGCATTATGGAGAATAAAACTCATTAACTGGAGAAAAAAAAAGAATATGTTTGCAAAGACTTAATCTTTTTGTAGTTGGAAGATGCCCCATGTAATTGGAAGGACACAATCAGAAACACAACTTTTTATTATGTGGTTTGGTTTTATGTTGTACTTAGCTATTTTTCTTTATTCTTTCTTTGTGTTTAGAGATGCCATCGAAAAGCTTTTCCATGAAGTTGTTCAGCAGAGGAAAGCAGAAATCCAGGCAAACGCCAAGATTGATCGGAGCCTGCAGGCATTTCAGAGGTAATTTGAAACTTTTTTTAAAGTAAATTCCCATGCAGTCTAAAATTATTTTTTAACCATTTATGTTGCTTGTCAGTATTACAGATACTTATTGTCAATGCCAACATTAGATATGTGTCTGATTTAGTACCACATATGAAAAGATATAGATCATCATCAAATCTTTATTTTACTTGTGTTATTCTATTTATTCTGTTTTTATATTCTTAACATATTTTACTTTGTTTAATTTAGCATTTATGACTTTATAATACTGTATAGTTTATCAAGCTGTTTATGCAGTGCAATAATATGCATCGTAATTACATTCTACAATGCATCTCTGATGTTATGTTTGAATGAAAATGTAAAAAATATATTAATCGGATTGATATACAAATAAAATAGAATATTTAGCACTAGATAAAATAAATTATGAATTTATTTATTTATTTGTTTAAAGAAAGGGTTGAACAAGAAATCCTGTGTGGCAGCACTTCACTCAGCCTGCACAAGACAAGGCTTAGTTAATAAATGGGTTTTTTTTTTTGTTTTTGTTTTAAATTGAGACCTGTGTAACATTTGTTATCATTCTTATTTTTATCATGTTAATGGAGAAAGAAAAGGCAGTATTGGCTTCAAGAATCGGCCAAAAAATATCGGCTGCATATATCAGCGTATCGGTTAGACCAGTGGTTCCCAAACTTTTTRTCTTCTGACCCACAAAATATCCATGGCAAAAACTTGTGACCCCAAATATTAC